TGAAATCCTTGAAGGAAAGATGAGGGAGTGGCTTGGAAAACTTGCTGGTGAGGTTTGGTTGGCTAGGGTGTACTGGTGATTGACAGGTGCTGATAGACTAACTCAACGCAGGGTTGTCACAAATCTTCACTTTGTAAAAAAAATGTAATATCTGTGGAGCACAATAAAGCAAAGAACAATAAAATGAGGTATGCCTATAGTCCTGTAGTCAGTAGTTTTTATTTAAGGAAAATATGCATAGTTAATTATAGAGGAGAATGCATCTGTTTAGCTTCATTTTGTTTTGTTTTTCATTTAGTTTGGATGTGAGAAATGTGAATTCATTGAGCTGGGCTTTCAATATAAGGAAATGCAGACATATTCTGTCTTGAGTACTATTGCGTTCAGGTGAATATGCTTAGGACTTCAAGTCCTGTTCAGTCAGTGTACAGCCCCTTGTGGTCCATATGTAGAAGCAGAATGTCCACTATGGAGAATCTCTAAGTGGGAGTGTTCCACCAACTGTAGAAACTGATATTCAAGAAAGCCTTGGTGGGTAGAAGAGGTTCTTGGTGGCAGAGATAAAACCTCTACATGAGGGGAGAGGGATTCATCCATTTTCAGGTAAATATATACTGTCTGTAAATGCTCAACTTTAAAAAATAAATACTGTAAATCTAAGTTAAATATGTGACAGGATAAGGCAGTGGTGGCGAACCTATGGCATGCGTGCCAGAGGCGGCACTCAGAGCACTCTCTGTGGGCACGCGTGCCATGCCCAGAACATGGCAACCGTCCCTCTTCAACCAGCCGCCCACTAATTCACTGAGGTCCCACATGGCCGGATGCATCCCAACACCCATGCGCTCGCTGGCCTCTGTGTCCCCAGCCTCACCTTGCCCTGTGACAATGGCACCCCTGCCCTGCCTCACCTTGCCTCGCCTCACCCAGCAAGACGAGCCTCCTGCCCACCGCCCACCTGCCAGAGACCCCTGGATCTCCCCCAACCCTACCCAGCCCCCACAGGCATCCCTCCCCACAAACAACATCGAGGTGATCACACCCACCTTGTCCACACCCACTCAATCTGCCATGACCACCACAGCCATGCCCACGCAGTGAGCCACGCCCACCTGGCACTCGGCGATAAATAAGTGGATTTTGGGTTGCAGTTTGGGCACTCGGTCTCTAAAAGGTTCGCCATCACTGGGATAAGGGATCTGAGAAACCAAAGAAGAATTAGACTAGGAAACAACTTTAAATACATTCTCTAAGTCTGATCATAGGAACCCAAATCTAGTACTTATTTTTAACTAGTTTATTTATTTTATTCATTTAGCATGTTTATTACTGCTTCCTATGCAGTTATCTCTGAAAGAGTTCACAAAATATAAAATACAAGGATTGAACAATATATTACTAACAGTATATTTAGACATAATTTTGACTTGGATGCAAGAATACCAGAAAATACTTAAGGTTAGACTGGGAACTCAGATTGGATAGTTGAAAAAAATATCCTGGAAAAAAATCTTTAATAAACTATATCCACATCATTGCCAAGAATACTATGTACAACCAGGATGTAAGTTCTAGTCCTGGGCCATTCACTCACTCTCAGCCCAGCTCACCTCAGAGATTTGCTGTGGGGAAAATAGAAGGAGGAAAGAGTAGTAGTATTTTTACTATTTTAAGTAGAATATGAAAAAATGGGATAAAAATCTTTTTAAAAAGTTGAAATTGAGTTTAATTCAAAGGAGACTTACATAACAACAACAATGATGATGGTATAGTGTGGGTAAAAAGCATACATACTGACTCTACATAGAAATATAAAGAATAGTTCCAGTGGTACTGAAGTTACCAGCATACTCTTGTCCCTGCTCACTTTGCAACATATGCTCCATTAATGATGTGTAACTTTCTAGATACATTCTTCACTTCTGAAGAACTCAGTGGTGAATGAAATCAAAGAATATAACCACAAAAGAATATAACCGCCAAAGGAAACTGTGCCAAAAAAGTATTTGATCATTAAGAAGTTAATTTTTTAATTGCACTTTGTGTATCTGACAGCTGTAATTTCAATCCTATTCTAGACTCAGTGTGTGGTATGTCTGTATTTTGTTTTGTTCGTTTATACCTTCCCTTTCTTCCATCATGAAGCCACCCCTGGAGCCTCTCTTATTCGGAATTCTCATTTGAAGGATTCTCCCTCCCTCTTCTTTATTCTCCCCCTCTTTTCCTTTCATGTGCATAATGTGAAGTCAGTTTAGATCACCGTGCTTTATTTTTGCTTTTTAGAATCCAGTATTTAAGTATGTTTTTGGAATGACCAATCCTTGAATATTTTTTTCTTCTTTTTAAAATTATATGACTTTTAAAACATACGTTACCTGATCTTTTATAAGGTTTTTTTTTCTTAAAAAAGTGTTAGTCACTATGATACATAGAATGACGCTGTAATGAAAAGGACAGGCGATCTTTATTTTAAACAAATATATTTGTGCTAGAATAGTAGCTGGCAACTCTTTCTCTGTCAGTTCTAAAGAATCAGTTACATCACATAGGGCAGAGGTAGGCAACCTTGGCTCTTTTATGACTTGTGGAATTCTGGGAATTGAAGTCCACGAGTCATAAAAGAGCCAAGGTTGCCTACCCCTGACACAGGGGAAGGCTGCTATAAACTCTTAAGTATTTAATTTTAATTAAGTCTTACTTAAGGCATAATTTTGCCTCTTTTCATTCTTCCTGAACTTCAAGTATTTTTACATGTTGAGCAGAGAACATTTTTATTACTCATAAGATTTTTTTTCTCTGTGTTTACCTTTAATTTATGAACTAATGATTTTCAGCATGCATGTGGAATAACATTAGAATATAGATATTTGCAGGTTATATATGAGTAATATTTCTTTGTTACTCTACCAGTCTAGATGAGAAATAAGTTATTAAAATGTTTGTGAAGCAACTAATAACTCAAATTTTATCTTGATATATGTTAAGGCTGATACATCTGTTTTCATGCATGTGGGCTACTATAACTTGATCATCCCATTATTTTTAAATGTCTACTAACTAAAAAATTTTCAATATTGAACCATCATTACCATTGCCATAATTAACAATTACATTTTGTAGTCCAGCTTGCTGTATCATATACATCAATGAAAACTATACACAAACATACATAAAAAGAAATGCTGACGTCCTAACTCAGATTGCATTTGTCTTTCTTTTAAAATGAAGCATACAGTGGAAGTGTTTATTTCCTAATTTATCTATGAAATTTTCGGAAGTTATAATGGAACAATTAAGATCCAAATGTAAGCTCATTCTAGATTATAGCATTACAGCACTTGGTGAAAACCCACATCAATCTATTACAACTATATAATGAATGTGTAATTCATGTGGTAAGAAGGATAGGTAAAGCAATTTCTAGAATATCTCCTAAGTGTTTATTTTCAGGTTGTAAAAGTTTAGTATGACAATTAAACAGTGATTAATTATATTCCCAAACTCTGTGAACATTGACAGAAAAGTCATTTTGCATATTATTTTTGTCATTGGTCCTAATTTATTTCTAGTGATCAAATATTTGTCATTAATGTGATGGAAGTTTTTTCCTAAATTTTTACAGATGTCACAATCATCAAGTAATACAAGTATTCTCTCTGTAATCGTATAAGAAAAAAAATCCATTTATGTTACCTTGGATACATAACCTGGAATGAATGTTAATTAAAGATAAAAATAGAAGTTTGGCTGGAGCTGAAACTTGCTAAATAATTAAATTAGAATATAGAAATTATTTCATTATTTTCTTTACCTATCCTAAATTTGAATTCCCAGATCTGGATGCTTTATCAAAGTTCTTAGTTGCATCAGAAATTGATAACATTGTAAGAAGAGGGAAACTGGAAAACATCTACAGAATTTAGTCAGACATTTTTGAGAACTAAGAGAAATGATATTCTCTTTCCTCTTTCCTTCCATTTTATTTGTGATTGGGCGTAAATTGGTCTTCAAAGAGAAGAAAGCTAGAGGATAATATATAATAAATAATATAGACAATGGAGAAAATTGTATTTTAGCACAAGTCTGCACATATAAACTGAAAATACTATTTGTAGCATTCAACATAATTAATTTCAAGGTAAATGTGAACAAGTTTGTGACCTGGTTAATATTGCTTTTGTCTAATTTTAAAACTAAGTCTAAAGAAAACAGCAAAAAATGAATATAAACTTATTTAATGATCCCATAATAAACCAGCTAATAACTGGAATGCTTATTTCATTCAATGTTCACTATTTTATAACAGATTAATTATACTTATGGTTAAGTGCTTCTGATTTTAAGGAAAATCAGTAGCAGCATCATTGGCAAATTGTTCCATGTTGATTCGGATTAATTTATAATGACAAAGTAGAACCAGGCTTTCATTGAAAAACCCATCAAGTAGCTCTATGAATTGGTTTCTAATAACATACTGTTCTAATAGCTTACTGTTTACCCGGAGTATCTTTATTTAGAAGTCAGGCACTATTTGAATAACTTAAAATTACTTACATTGATGCTGTTAATATCCAAAATGGATCATACTTCATTTCTTCTACATGCAGGTTTAATTCTAATTATGGTTATGGAATGTACAAAGGTTTTTTTATTGAAATTTACAAATGAAATTCATATCCATTGTCACGATTACTCTTGGGTAATATTAATATGCAGACTGGAGATGATTGGATATTAATTGTTTAAAGTATTTTAAAGCAGGCCCACATTTAATAGGCAACATTCTTTAATGTTTTTTTTCTAAGAAAATTCCAAATTGAATACAAAGGGAACATCAGTATCAGAGGGTTTAGTTCTCATTTTTATGTTTATTGATGACTAGTGTTTTTTCATAAAGAAATTACTTATATCTCATTATGTTTCCAGGGATTATAATGTTCTTTTTTCTCATTTTTTTCAAACCCCTGTTTATATGTGTGTATTTTTTTTCCTCTGCCTAGACCTGGTTAACCATTTCTGTGAACAGGTCCTCAATTTTTTACTTTGTCCCTACTTTCCTGTCGTAGCCCCATCTTCCCCTGGTGTCGACTCCGTACCCTTACAGCGCACAGGCAGTCAACTCGCCACACAGAATGCATCAGCGACCTTCCAGAGGGCCAGCTATGCTGCCGCCCCTGCCTCCAATTACGCAGATCCCTACCGACAGCTGCAGTATTGTCCTTCTGTTGAATCACCATACAGCAAATCTGGACCAGCCATCCCACCTGAGGGAACCTTGGCTAGGTCACCTTCTATTGATAGCATTCAGAAAGATCCCAGGTGGGTGAAACTTTTATTTTTTCTATTATTAATTCATAAAGAGATTTACAACTCCAACCATGGGTGTCAAGGTGATAGATTATTGCATAAACAAATAACCCATTTCCATATTTTTAATGTAGTTCTATTTCATAAACCAAAGCAATTGGCCAGCAAGACTATTACAAAAATGGAGTTTTATTAGCATTTTTAATCTATTTGCATTTTTAACAACAAAAATAAGAAAACGGCACACATAAGTGCATATTATAGTGTCCTTCTGTTCTGTTTTCATGAAACTTCCTCTACAAATGTCTTGTATGTAATTGATATATATTAGTGTTTTTAATTACTTTCCTGTTAGTAAGGATTGTTTTTAGTAAAGTATTTTTAAAATGCCACTCAATTTCCTAAGCTAGGAAGCTGGTATTAAATGTTTCCAAGAATATTTTCATATGAATTTTGATTTCAATATAAAATGGAATCAAGCAGGAGTTATTAAAATGCACAAACTTAATTAAAATATGCAACTAATTTTTACAAGACTTCTGTTGCCAAATACTGTGATTTTTATGGCATTTAAATAGGACAGACACAAATGCAAAGTGTATTCAGACATCAATGTTAGGCTGGGAGTTTTAAGCCTGTTAGGCTTTTGCCTGTTTTTAAAAATCATACTTAATGAATTCTTCGGGTTTTTTTTTCCTTGTTTCTGTTATATTTTCTTTAACTGCTTTCTATTTCACTTTTTCCTAACAATTAAAATATTTTAGTCAATTATTTTGTAAATATTAATAAGATAACATCTATAAAACATATAGAAATACTTGCTCAGATAAGTACCTTATTTTTTTAACGAACGATTAAACTATTTAAAAACCATATATAATAAAGGGCTCTTATTTGTTTTTACACATGTGGTTAGAGGGGGACAGTATTTGAAAGTTGCTCAGTCTAACTAATGAAAGTTGTACATCGTCTCTTTGCTAGGACATTTTTGTTCTAAAACATATATGTGATAAAATTTAGAAGTCATTGTGTCACAAAAGTGGTTAGATTTTAAATGTTTCTTTTGAAAAATATATGGTTGTCATTGCTTAACATGCCACTATTTAGCATGTTTCTGTGTGAAAACTTTATTAGAATTACAGAATGCCTCATAGCCTCATTTGCTGGATGGCTCCCTGTTGCATTATAATTTCAAATTTGAATCAAAGGGCAATCCATGTGCACAAATGTAGCCGATAGATGGGCCACTAGGATGGAAAGCTACAGAACCTCTTCCAAAAATTCTGGGGATTTTCGCACCTGAACTGCCTCCTGCTTTGCAGTAGTGGCTTGATAGTTCCCTGCCATTATCACCTATATTCCCAGGGGCCTTATCTGGTGTGATGTATAAGCACGTGGATAGAGAATTCATCTGTTCCTCATGCATTGGAAAGACAGGCCAATCTCACAGGAGATAAATTTTGTCAAACTTTATTAAAATGGGAAGTGTAAATTGTAAAAAAAAAATCAAAAGGTTTTGATATTAAAAGGCAAACTGTGCAGTGTTGGAGGAGGTGAATTACAGAGCTGTTAGATCACAGGAAAACAACAGCTGACAAATTAAAGAAGAAAAGATCAAAAGGAAATAAAGACCGTACGATGATGCTGGGTTTCTACCAGTCATAAAAAGATTGAAGTGGGAATCAAATGATTTCAGATAAAAAAAAATCTAAATAATGTCTTCCTACTCAGACTGTGGTATGAATACAGACTGAGATTAGACACACTTCACTAGCTTATACTGAGAAATAACAGCACAGTTCCTGGCTAGACTCATTACCTATAGCAGTTTCTGAAGCAAAGTTCCCTCTGCTTTACTTACTTGGAGTTAACTAGGGGTTTTTTTGGGGGGGGGAGGAAGGGGGATACAAGTTTTAATCCAAGACAGTGGAAAATGAATTTAGAACATGCTTTTTACCCCAGGGTTGTTTTAGTTTCTTGGTCTCTCCAGCAGGAGGAAGTAACTGACTCTCAGAGTATGTGATAAAAAATACCTTTATCTCAGGATGAATATTCTGTGTCTGGCCCAAACTGTTGTGAATGTCTGCCACTTAAGCAGCATTCAGAACGAGAACTACAGAGTAAGTGTTTAAAAAAGTTCTGAAAAATGAAAATCCAACTCTTCTGCTCTGGAAAGCCTTTAATTATTTTAGCAATGGTTTGCTCTCCAAGGTTGTTTCAATTTATTTTTTGAACGTTTCAGTATCAGACTAGGTAACATCATCAGCAGGATTTCTTTCCTAAAGGAAAATAGGACAAGAAAATCTGCTGATGATGTTACCTAGTCTGGTAATGAAACATTCAGAAAATAAATTGAAACAAGCTTGGAGAGCAAACCACTGCCAAAATCTAAAACCTGAGCTATAGGTATTTTCTATTGTTTCAAAACCTTTAACTATGTCTAAAAGTTTGCCTCTATGTAATTGCTCAATTTTTGGCCACTTGCCTTTCTTTCTCATATTTCCCAGTTATTTCCCAATTTATGTTTTATGGGTCTATTTGAAATCCAAGGTTTTGTTTTCTACTAATTGTTTTGCAATAACAATTTCTGAACCTCCTTTGTATCTGCATTGCAGTGGGAATTCTGATAAGATCATAGAAACCTCTGTTAGAAAAAGTGGAAAAATTAGGAACTCCACTTTAGACAAGATGTAGCACTGTTTCCGGCACTGTGCAACATTTATTATTATTTTTAATGAAACCATTGACCACAGAATTCGTTTCCCATACCAGTGACTTATAGTGCCTATCCCTACCCTGACAGTTTCCTATTAAAGTGCAAGTTAGACTTTCTAGTTCTCGCAAATTATAATTGTGCTTCAAATGCTTAATTAAACCCAGGGATTTGGAATATGTGTCTGTGAACATGTATTAGAGTTGGACAGTACTTTCATTTCGATTACACAAAGATGATTCAGAGCACATGGGAGCAGAAGTGAAGCACTTGTCTGCAAATCTTTAAAATAGTTATTTCTTTCCCCAGGATTGCATTTAATCCCAAGAAAAGGCATGGTTGCTTTAAAAAGTGCAAGAAGGAGCTATGTTTAGGTGCCTTTCTGGATCAGAATTGAAACACTGCACAAACCTGTCACATAAACACATACAGTACATATATTCTGTAAAGACAAGATTAGGAATTTACCAAAAATATAACTTATAGAGTTTGTGTTTGAAAGACTCAATTTATTGAGAAGGGGATTATGGCAATGCCCAATGGAATTCTGCAGAGATGATCCCAATTGTTGGGCATACACAAAAAAGAGCATAAATGAGAAAATATCTGAAAGATAGATATATTCACATAAGTCATCGAGCCAGGTTAACATTAGTTACAATTGAAAGGTTTAAATGTGTTCCAGGCAACATAGCAAACCATAATCAATCATTTGGATGCTAGTTTTTCTTGGTAACCCAGTGAGCTTTGCATTGGCTAGTCAGAGGAACACTTCCCAAGAATTTAGTTTTGCTGAGGTAATAATTGGGTTACAAGCGTACTCTACAGTTCTCGGTCTGCAGCTACAATCTCCTCATCCTTCCATTTAAGACTGATGTTTTTCAGCTCTTCCTGAAATGTGTGGCACCAGGTTTTCTTTGGCCTTCCTCTTTTTCTCTTTTTCTTCAATCATCTAGTGGCATCCAATTGATTACAGTCTTTGCTGAATGTTGCTCATTCATACACTTGTAGCCCAATGTGGTTAGCACAGGAAATAATTGATGTAGTAATTACAACACTATTGTCAAGCTAGTCTGATCATAGTTGGAGTCACCAAACAAATGAGGAAAGGCAGATGATTTCCTCACTGTGTCTTAGTTCCTTGAAAGGTCAAAAACAAAGTAAGAACAACAGTTGCAGAAGTGATTTGAGTTTGTGGTTACTCTTTCACCCCATTTTCCTGAAGGGTTAACATTATATAACAATACTAATTGTTAGCTATTAGAGCTATCAGACCTGGATTGCAGAAATGAAGACAATCATTAGATGGCAGGAGAAACTTAACCATGTTCTGTATCTCTTTAACACCATCTAGCAATGTTCCAGATTTTTGCAATTCCAATCTGTTGGCCTTGATCAATTTTCTGGATCTGTACAACATGCTAATCTGTGGTTAATAATGTTATCTTAAAACAACTAGTTAATAACCGGTCACTTATATCTAATGGGTTTTGCAGCTCAGAAACAGGATGCCATCTTTAAGCTATGGCCTGTCTTTGGATGATATGATAAAAGGACTACCAATATTTGGGCTGCAAATATTAGAACAACCATTAGAAGGCAGCAAGGAGTTACAGTTTTCTGTATTCTTTGCTTTCATCTAATTATTTTTCAAACTTTTGCAGACATAGTGATTTTGCAGGTATAGTAGCCGTACTATCTTAATACTTCAAAATACAACATAATCAATGGGCCTCAACGTAACATCAGTTTATTATAATTGCTTCACTTTACAGGAATACTAGATGGTGAAAAATTAAAATAAAAAATTAAATGCAAAATATATTTAGGCTTTATTCAACTATTATATGGGAGGAAACCTTACTGCAGTTTTGGTATTTCCTATAGAGAGTTTTACAATATAGTTGTTATGGAAATGCACCACAGGCCTTGTTTCTGACTAATGGAAATGTTCCTGTTAATATTCAGAGGCTTTCCTCCTCTGGCTCTTGCTTTGAAAGTTCCATTTCATTCCCTCTGCTGAGTTTAATTTCCTATCATGCGGAGAAGGAAAGTTACTGGCTTAGTGTCTTCAAAGACTCTATATCAATAGGCCTTCTTGTATCCCTTGCTTTGTTCTCTTTTCAAGGGGAACAGAGCTTAATATCCCATATTCTTTGTGGACCATTGACATTCATATTTGCCTCACTATCTAGGAAGAACACTGTGCTCTTTTCACAAGCAGTTTATTCATTCATTTTTTCATCAGGAAAATCAACTGATAATGAAAAGTACTAATTAGAATTCTTACAAATCTTAT